GGAGAAAGCTGATAGGTTGTATACTAGTTCAAAGGGAGGGTGCAGGAAATGTTGAGGCCAATGCCAGCTCTCTTTCACAACTTGCTTTACTCGAAGGGACAATTGCTGAAGCTGCAATGGGCCTAAGCGAGGTATTGATGAAGGCGGCATCCAACAGAGTGATATGTGTACTGGTTGGTGGCAGGGTGTTTGTTGATAAGATCATTACAGATCTTAAAACTTCAGATAAAACTGTGTTATCAACTGATATTGATTCAGCCAGTATGATCCCAAGTCTATTACGCAGGGACTGTGAGAGGGGAAGCAAACAGATTCTGATATTAATGAATTCTGGGGCCACTCTTAATCTCATATCTCAGAAATTGATAGAGGTGGTACAAATGTACTATAAAGCAGCAGTAATGTTTCAAGCCAAAATGGGGAAAGGAGAGCATATATCACTCCAGAGCAGTTGTGAGGTACTACAGACTTGGGTACACCATCTAGTGATGACTGAGGACTCCTATTTGTTAGATCTTGGAGAGTTTAATGTGATTCTGGGAATGGGACCACTAGCCAATCATGGAAATGCACAGAAAATTTTCAGTAAACACAGCATAAAATGGTTGGGAGAGGGGCAGTATGCAACAAAGTCATTGTCTCTATTCTTTCTTGCTATGCTCTTTCGGGCTATGAAAGGAGTGACCATGAAGGTTGGAATCAGGAAAGTATGGGTTCAGAAATCTGTGAGGTATTGGGAAGGAAGAGGTGCAAGAATGAAGTGCAAGTGGAAGATCATGGCTGATTCCTATCACCCACCTTGAGGACAAGGTGGTTGTTTAGGGGGGGAGTAATGATAGGAATCTGGGTTTTGTAGGCTATTAATAAGAAATAATAATATTAATAATAGTAAAGGTACTTGTAGTAGTTTTAATAGAAGGGAAGGGGTTATTAGTAATATCTAGCATATCCATATGTGGGCATTGGCTATAAATAGAAGGGATAACAACGGGTGAGGCAGACTGTTATTTGATTGAATGTTGCCTTGTTGCCTAAGAGTCCCGGTTGCCTTTGTTGCCTAAGTTGAGACTATTCCTATCAATAAACATCATCTTCCCTATCTTTGTTATCAGATCTGTGTTTGGTTGTTACTGTTTGTGCTCAGATTATACAAGGTTCCTATCATGTTTGAGTAGGCCATTTAAAAGCATGTTATGTGGTCTGAACATGTACACTAAAAAAGTTTTTTGTGTTATGAAAAATAAGTTTTTAATGGAGTATTTGGACATATGTTTAATAAAACATTATTTTAATGTGTTTTAAAAAACCCATAGTTTCTAAAATACTCCTTATCTCAAAATGATTTAAAAAAATAGTGCCTTAGATGGTATCTGGGTTAGAAAACAACAAAATATTAACTCAATCTCTAGTGGCCAAAATATAATGATGATTTAAACATTTAACTCATATATATGGCTTTGGACTATCCTTCCAATCAACTTTTAGGATAAAAGCTCAAGCCTTGATGCAAAACCCTCACTTTTAAGGATGAAATTTCAAGTTTTAATACAAAACGCTCAAATCTAGAAGCTTTTAATTAGGGCTTCTTAGTTTAGTATTTTGGAAAGGAAAATGCTCAGTCACCACCCCTCTTAACAAAAAATTTCACCACTCTTCTACAGATGAACTCAAGTGATGCTATCGTCAAGAAATCAACATATGATCATTCCTCTGGTTGCTTCACAGTACCGGCCAGGACAACAGCTGTGTTTGTTGAACATCGAATAGGGTTGTAATTACATACAACTGAAGTCATACACCAACAACAACATACTATGTAACGAGTTAGTATACATAATGTTGGATTATCGGGGAATGACCCAACATAAAACCTATAATATGCCCGCAAAAAAATATCAAAAGTAGCAGACCACAAGAGATGGAGAGAATTTTACTTATTTATTCGTATGCAATTCATGTTATGAGACTGGGTTATTGAGAAGCCTCCCAATAAATGATATTCAAATGCCCTTCTTATAGTGAAACTAAAGGTCTCTAAATACAAAGAATATATACACATAATTGAGCAGTAAGCCAGTAAGTGGGATGGCAATGTCAATCTTAAGTTCTCACTTTAGAATAACATTTGAAGTAATAATAATCACATAATGACTTGAGAGTTCCATAGTCGTGTTTAATTAAATAGATGATCCCAAGATGAAATCAAAGCATTACGTAAATACGTACACTTATGTCTGTTATGGCCTTATGGGCAAATCAAATACAACTCTCTTATCATTTGGAGATCCTTTATCAATGTCAATTGTTGATTAATTTATTGCATCTTGATTTGTCCTGAGCATATCCATCAACATCTCCTCTCACACATTCCTCAAACACCTTATTTAGTTTTCCAAACGGTTTTCTTCAACCAACATCTTTTAGTATCCATAATAACTACATTGTAAACCGGGGGTCTTCACAAACAAAGAGTCTGGCAACAATTTGATAAGACTCGTCAATTGCTTTATGGGGAGGGATAAAACTCAAAAAAGATGTAAAATTCATTGTAATGCATCACGAAAAAGTGTGTTAGAGTATTTGTACGGAACAAACACGAATTGCGTTTCAGTTTCTACTCGGGGCAAACAATAAGATCTTTCTCTATGATAAGGTCATTGTGAATTTGTAATGGTATATGAACTTCCTCACGTGCATACACTTCCATTTCAAAGAAGGCGACACACAATGACACCACGTAAGATGTCGAGACATTCATCGCATGATCATTACACACATAAATATATATCCGCAAAAGTAAAACGATCGAGCCACTATTTTTAAGAAAGTATATATTTTTACTTTGAAAGGGTTTAATTACGCCCTCAATGGCTCAATCTCAACCTTTCTCGACAAAAACATTATATGCATTTTTCATGCAGTATACAAGTTTGAATATGATTATCCGACTCAAGTCCATATATTATAAATTTTTTAATATAGTAGTTGATGATAGAAGATTTTTTTTAAATATAAAGGATTAAACAGAGCCTTTAAGAAAAACGGTGTCAAACTTGACATGAACATTGACGACGCTTGTACAAGAATGAAAAATAAGTTTGTGCCATGAGTTGATGATCAATTCAACATCGTGTGTCTCATCATATCTATCAAGAAACAATCATGCCAGTGAATAGACTAAAGTACTAGTAGATTTTTGTTATCATGTTTAGCAATTTCACCCTAACGGAAAAGTGACTTTGTAGATAATTATATGCTAGTCACCTTAATGGTGAACAAATAATCATTAAGATAAAAGATGATATAGATGATCGTTAACGTTTTATGGACGTGCAAGCCATGAGGAATTAAAGAAGCTTACACGTACGAATAGGCCTTATTCCCTTATGCAAAAAACAAGGAAGAGGCGGATGCAGAATCCATGGTAGAAAACGAAAGAAAGATATCATGTCCCGTGATCGAGAGTAAGCGCCTGATTATTTTCCTAAATAGGACTAAATTGTTCTTTGGCCATTTGTTCAACTATCTCACCGCTTTACCAGTTGAGCTACCCGTGCGGGTATCTATTTGATAATTTAATATGATGGATAATTGGATATATTTCTTCCATCTCAATTTATTTGCAGCTGTTACTTTTCTAGTCTATATACGTCCAAAACTCATTTTATTCTTCAATTTTGAGTATAAATTTTGTATTATGAATTGGATTTGGTTGTTCAATAAAAAAAATTAGGGAAAAGGTGCAAATAGGCCCATGTACTAACAAAAAAAGGTCAAATAAGTCCTTATTTAGGAGGCTCTGTCCGGCCGTCGCCATTTGGGTTGGTTCCCGGTGGATTTTTTTGATGAAACTTTTTGAGCATCTTATTCATTAAGTCTAGTTTAATCATACAAAATTTCAGCTAAAACTTCAACCGGGAAGGCATTCAAATGAATTCTTGAAAATAACTGCACACTTAGAAGCGCAGTTATCTTCAAGAATTCATTTGAATGTCTTCCCGATTGAAGTTTTAGCTGAAATTTGATATGAGTAAACTAGACTTGATGAATAAGATACTCAAAAAATTTCATCAAAAAATTCCACCAGGAACCACCCCAAATGACGACGGCCGGACAGAACCTCCTAAATAAGGGTTTATTTGACTTTTTTTGGTTAGTACATGGGCCTATTTGCACCTTTTCCCAAAAAATTATGCAACTTTAAATACTCCCTCCGTCCCATTTTGGTTGTCCTACTTTCCTTTTTGGGTTGTCCCAAAATGAATGTCTTATTTCTCTTTTTGGCATGAAATATGTGGTTCTTATTAATTCACTTTATTCTACTCAAATCTCAACCACAACTTTTACTTTTCAACCACTTTATTAATAATCGTGCCAAATTGAAAGTGGACAACCATTATGGGACGGAGGGAGTACTACGTATATAGATTTGAAGTATTGTACGGAGCAGTGATTTATTTAAAATGGGGGAACTAGGAAGTACTCGTATTTATTTGAATTGCACAAAGTATAAATTGTTTTTTTTGTTGAGAAAAAGTATAAATTGATAGGATGATGACTATGTGTTTTGAGTTTTGCTAGGTGTACACAAAATATGTAACACCTTTTTTTGTACATTTGTCTGTCTCCAACAGACAAGTTGTCTGTCACAGACTACTCGAATTCTAGTTGTCTGTGACAGACAAGTGTACAAAAAAGGTGTACACATTTTGTGTACACCACCCATTTTTCGTGTTTTATAATTTAGGATTTTTTTTGTTGGACTGTTTTCAGTCCCAGACCAGACCAGATCAGACTTAAACAGACCAGATCAGACCAGACGTTCACAGTTATAAAATATAAAGAGACCAGATATTTACCAAACAAAACCAGAGCAATTCAGACCAGCCCAGAATTAAACAGATCAGATCAGACTTCACCAACAAATTGTAGTCCAAAAGAAAACATCTTATAATACTACGTACGTAGTATGGACTACGGAGTAGTATTTTCGTAAATAATGAATTATTATCATTTTTTCATACCGGTAACGGTTGAAGTAAACGACCCCGTATCCTTCACTGTTCGACGACGGAGAAAGATAGTCAGTCAAACTAGTCCCGCCGGCAGCAACCAGTCGACGGCGGAGTGATGGCGAGTCTCTTCAGCGTTTCATCTTCTCCACAACTGAACAACTCGTTTCTTCAATTATCATCTCATTCCCATTCACTTTCACCTCCCTTACAACTCAAGGTACCCGTCTCAACACACACACACAAGTATCTTCTAGTTTGTATCGAAAGAATTAACGCTTTTTCCGTTCGATCTGTCGATGAAGAGTGTTTGCTACCGGGAATTGGTCTTGTTCCGAGCGCACTGTTCATCAGAGAAAGCTGTAGACGCGGAAAAAGAATCCAAGACGGAGTTATCGTCTCCTCCTACCAGTGATCCGAGCATTTCATCATACGACTGGTGTGCTTTACTCGGAGGGATTGGGTTCCTGGAGACATCCTACTTGACATACCTTAAGCTCACGGATTCTGATGCTTTTTGCCCAATTGTTGGTGGCAGCTGCGGCAACATCCTTAACAGCAGCTACTCATTTGTTTTCGGTAATTTCTTTAAGTTGTTGATGTTATTACTACGTAGTTATTAACTTATTATGCCTTGAACTTGAGTCTTTCTGCATGCTACTTTTCATTATGTTCTGATTTTGTGAATGTCATTAACATCCTTTGTCTAGTAAGTTATTCATATGCCTAGAGATTAGGTTCGTAATTGAACTTTATATTGTGGCAGGAGTTCCGCTTCCATTACTGGGTATGGTTGCGTATGGATTAGTTACATTACTTGGGCTGCAATTAGGTAGAAAGTGGTTACCACTTGGAATTGAAGAAGCTAATGGGAGACCTGTTTTACTTGCCACAACGACTTCTATGGCTGCTGCTAGCTCATACTTTTTGTACATCCTAAGTATGAGATTCCCAGGGGAGTGGTGTTTATATTGTCTGACATCTGTTGTCTTATCCTTCAGTTTATTCTACATCTCTCTAAAGGTCCTATTCTTGACATGCAATTTCTAGTGTATGGGATTTAATATGAACCAGTGTGCTACAACTTTGATAATGATTTTGGCGTGTGTTACAGGAGTTGGGATTCACTGAGTTAAAAAAAGAACTGGTTTTACAGCTATCTGTAGTGCTATTGGTGGTTGCTGCCTTAAATAGTTCATATAATTCCTTTCAGCCTACAAGGTTAGCATGCTATGACTATTAGAAAATATTTGAAGTTGGAGCCGCATGTTTGTTTATTAAATGTAATCACACTTGTATGTTCTAAGCATACTCTTTTAACTGATGGACACAGAATTAGAGCCATATGGATGGCCTCACCAGTCACCATCTAATATACTAATATAAGCATTATGGTCCTCTCAGTTGTAACTTACACTATTACTACTTTCTTCTTCTTCCAATCAAAGTAGCTTATAGCAAAACCTATAAAGATCTTGAAATTAGAAGATTCAAGTTCATTTAGTTCATCTCTCAATTAACAGAACTGCTGAAGAGTTCCTGCCCTGAGAAAAACCTCAACTTGACCCATATTTATTATATGTCAATTCCTGCATGGACTCAGCTCTGGTCCATTTAAGCCCATCTAAGATTTTAGCAAATGCCATGTGCGGATTCAGCTCTTCCAATAGTAAAGATGTTCTCTTCTGAACTTATGTTGTGTGTGTTGAGACTTTGGCTAGAAAGATTAATGGAAGAAGGGAACTCCTTATAGGAATGCTTTGAATACTTGGATCCTCAAAGTATGGAAGATATCAACTTTATCTCATGGTAGGCAAGATAGCTCCTTATAACACTTCATAGAATAAACTAATAAAGCGCTACACCTTCTACACGATTCTAAACCACTCCACATTGTATTTGAAAACTCAATGTATAAGAAGAGTTAAGTAGATGGGAGAAAGGTACGTTTGGTCTTGAGTCTTGACATCTTCCCCCACCTAACCTGGTGATGCCCTCTATTTCATCTGGGCTTCAAACAGCTTCAGGAACTTCGACAAGTCCTCTTCAAGCTTCCGTGTTGTTGTCCTGGGTAGTCTATTCCACTCAATCATATTATAATTTTGGGTGGAATGGAAAATCCATGAGTTTTATGCTTCCTTATACTTGGTTATCCATAACAGTGTTTAGAATTCTTTTCATGGAAAATCACTTTTTTCCTTTTTATGGCAAAAACCTTGTTCCATTTTGTAATAATCGGTTCCATTCTCATTTCATTTAAAGAAAATCATAATTAAAGAATATTTCTCTGACTGGTTGCACTGTGTTCAATTTCGGATCTCCACATGTCTATTACTATTGGACTTCACATTTTCTTTGATATATCAGAGTTATAACTTGTCTGCTATTCACATCTTTGCTATAAAACAGATTTTGAGACTTACCCTAAGGGCTGACATGACACGAAACATGTATTTAGCAATACATTAGTTCTATTTTATATCTTTTTCAAACAGTTCTGATGCATCTGAGCTGCCATATTTCGCCACTGAGATCACAACACATTCAAGTCCTTATGCCATTTCTTTAGCAAAGCATCTTAGCTCAGTAGGAGCAAGAATGTATGGGGCTTTCTGGTGTTCGCATTGTCAAGACCAGAAACAGGTACCGCCATTCTTCCGGTGAGTCAAGCATATTTGAAGTTTTTTTTCACTTCAAAAACATATTGAACATTTGAACACCATTAAATTGTTACCTAGTTTGTGTAACCAGCTTAGTTCTCATGTATGTATTTTCTTGTGCTTGTAGACCATCTCATCCATACTCCTAGTTGCTTTGTTTCCTTTATATAGTTATACTTTAAGGCATTGCCACTTTGGTGATGATTCTGAGATGCCGATATAGAATTATTGGAATTAAAATGTTGTGAGACCTTAAGCATTGTTTGAATGGGAAAAGATGAAGCATCCAAGTATTGGACTTTGTAGTTAGTTCATCACTCTAGGTATATCATTAAAATATTAGGTTTGAATATCAAAGGGGATCTTCAATGAAATGGATCTGTTACAGATGCTTTGGTTGGTTGCCATTTGCCAATATCACAAGTTCTTGTGGCCCAAGAATCCAAGTGAATCTCGGCTCTTGCTGCTTCCTACTGAATCTTTGTTTCTTATTTTAGTAATTTCACCGGTTTTCATTTACTTCCTTAGGTAAGCATTATTATCTTTGCCATTTGAAGATTAAGAACCTTGTAATAACTATACAAAGCTCAATAGTTTGGATAAATTATACTTCGTATCGATTGTGGAGAATCAATTCATTGTGTCAAGGGTGAGCAGGGTTAAGTAATTATCCAGAAATTAGTTCCTTTTTCCAATCCCCACTTCCCTCTTCTGTCATGTTCTTTTATGCCTGGAATGACAGCTTGCGTGAATACTCTTAACAGTGTCCTAATGAATATAGCCCTTAACTAATGAATATAGTACATATGAATGACTTCCAAAATAGCAAAGGTGTTAGTATAATTATGGGCTTGTAACCTTTTCAAAATAATTTTGAGACATCATATAGCGCTGAACCTGCATGGAACTGACCATGTCTATAATAATTGGACCAAACCTGAACTAGACCTGCTGGCCGCTTGCAATTATCATAGTTTGTGTTACGAATGCTAGCTGGTTAGGGAACTTATTTCATAATGCTAAAATTGGTACCAAATTGGTGACCGAAAGAATTCCAAAAAAAAAAAAAAACTCAGGATAGTGAATAACAGGACTATTGACTCTTACTATAGAAATTTGAAGGTGTTATTTATTGAAAACCCCAGATTTAGTTAATTCAAAATAGAGATAATAAAAATTAGGGCAATTCAAACAAGATTCCTTTTTACCCTATGAGGTAGTTTGTGCATTTATTAAAAAATGGAGTCCGGATGATATGCTTTATCAATATAGAGAAACCACTGCTGAAGTTCTCAAATGCTTCATTGATTTGCTCAAGGAAAGCAGACATCGTACTGAAATTTTCCACGCATTGCATCCTTCATTGTGTATAGATGTTTGGGCAAGAAGCAGCTGCTCTACTAAACTATGTAGAATGCTTTCCTACCGGGATCAAGAAAGGAACCACTATGGCTTTGGAATGTGCACTTGTTAAGATTGAAGGGTTCCCAATGTGGGTGATTAATGGACAGGTGATGATTATTTTTTGTCACACAATTCTTAAATACTAGCCTCTTCCATTTTATGCTATAAATTTCCGCTCGGATGTTGATCTCTCGTCCACAATTACAGCTCTTGCCTCTATTAATATTGGGAATGAAACCCTATTCGTTATTGTTGATCTCTACTCTAGCCCCAAATACTTATTTGGTAAAATGGAAAGGTGCCCCTAGGACTTAAACTTTATTGCTATTTCTTTTCTTTTCCATTTCTTTTTTTTTTTTTTGGTAGCCAAGAAGTGAATGTTTTACATATTCCCATTTCTTTTCAAAAACTGTAGTATGCAAAAAATGCTCACTCTTTTATACGTTAGTTTTTTCAATCTTCAGTTCGTTGGCTATTACATTTTCCTTCAAGTTTAAAATTCCAGACATGCTTTTTTCACAGATGCAACTTTTTGGTGCAGGTTCTAAATGGAGAGCAGAAACTTTCTGAACTCGCTAAAGCATCGGGATTTCAATTTGATGAATCAAGTTGAGCTAGAGCTAGCTGCCCTTTATTAATGGAACTAAACCTTGACATTAGCTCTGTAGTTTTTAGTTACTGATTTTTTCGAAATGTTCTCCAAATAAATATGTAAGCGTCTTTCAACTTCTAATCTATTTGTCATTAGACAAAGAGTAAGGGCTAGGCAGGTGAAAGTCTTCATAGTGTTTTGGTACTGAATAGTTTCCAAGTAAATTCTTTGCTAAATAATCAATAAATCTATCTGAAATCACGAACTTAGTTATTCATCTCCAACTAAAACAGCCACTGTTGTACAAAATAGTTAAAATGATTTAAGTACTATTACCGGTGACATTTTTGTAAGTATTCCGTATATAGCAATAAAATTGTCTTTTGAGGAACAGTCTTTGCCATGTGCTGCTATATGACTAACTTCACTATACCCCTTAAAAAGTAAATAAACAAGTTCCATTAAACGTATATTAACAATAGTTAATCAATCAAACTAATGACAATTAGTAAGTCAAAACTAAAATGAATTTCATTAATTAATTTGAAGGAGAAAGTAATAACAACACAATAATAATAATAATAATAATAATAATAATAATAATAATAATAATAATAATTTCATGAGAAATAATTTTCAATACAACTTATTAAAATCTACTAAATAACTAGTGAAACTAATTAATTTCTAATAAAATGAAAGATGGTCTAAGGGAATGAAGTGATTCACACATGACTTAGGTGCAAGCAACCTCTCTTTCTCTCGCATATCGTTGTCGGCAAGCATTTATATTGACTAAAGTCAAACCGATTCTGAATGACATGTATGCGTCTTTGGCTGCAAATGTAATCTGTTCAAAGCTTAGATCATCCAATTCCCAATTGCTCTGAAGTATTTTGGACGGCCTGTCCATCTTTAATCCAAGAACTTTCATCGCCAACGTTTCCAATCCAATCCACAACAACTCTCTTGACCGGTAAATACATGTTGCCAAAAATTGTAAATCAAGAACGTTTCCCACAACCAACCCGTGATCCTGGAGGAGTTGTTGTGCGTGCCCTTGGACCCCTATGGCGACAAATGTGACAAGAGGATTGGTGAGGAAGGTGACCAAGGATTGTGGAAAGCGGTCCTTGTAGAGAAGCTGAAAAACAAGGCACTTCTTCCCGACACAAATTTGGAGTGTGGCGGTGAGATTGTTGTTCCATGGCCGGTAGGGATGCCACTTGATGTCTAGACTGGCAATGATGAAACGGTGTCCACGACGGTGATGGAGATCGATAATTTCTGATATCCATGCGTCGACTTGAGACGCGACTTTGGTAACAGTGACTTGGAGATTGATATTGTGAAAATCAACCGAGTGTATTGTTGCCATTATTTTAAGTTTATAAGGAAATTGAGGGGACGACATGATACAAAAGGTATAAAAACGGGATGAATGAGTAATTGAGAATGTATGATTGTATGAATGGTGAATGAAGGGATACTATTTATAGATTTGAGAATCAAAACCCTAATTCTACTTGTACTTATATTCGTACTTGCTAGAGTTGAATATGGTTTAATTTCCTAAATTGAATATTCTACTAATACTTCGTATTTGTAATGAGTAAGGGAAGTAAACTGAGGTAGTTTCCCAAAACGCTACGTTGGGATATGATTATGATGAATGATCGGGAAAAAGAGTTTCCTAAATCTCTTTTGGGATTACGAATTTACGATTGGGATGGGGGTTGTGACTTCTGAGGACGCAGTATCACTCATGCTAGGAAATACTCCGTATTACGATTAATAAGCAATACGTACTACGTAGTACTACTTCGTATAAAGTTAAGGTGCTTAAAAAACTAAAGTTAGAATACATACATTAAAGTAAAAATAAAAAACTAAAGTTAAAAAAACTATACGCCATTTGAAGACTTCGGTAATGATAAATACTTCGTATTAAATAAGAATAAATTTAAGGATGGCAAAGATTAAAGGATATATAATAAGCATTTTATTAATTCAGGAACTGAAAATAGATAAATATAAATTTGAAACTTGAAAGATAAAATGTGTTGATTTAGGATCCAAATGATTGAAAATTATCAGTCTAGCACCCAAAGTTCCATAGGTTTTAATTTATTTAATTTATCATTAATTCCATTTCTAAATTTTGATGAAATTTTCTTTGCAAAAGTTTATTAATTAGTTAAATAAAACTAGAAAATATTTTAAAATTTTAAAATACAAAATAATAATAATATTCATGAAAAACAGGTCCTACATTTATAGTTTTCATTCGTTCGGTTCCTATAAAGATGTGTTTTGTCTTTTAGGTCCTGGATTGACAACTCATCTATTTTCCAAGTCCTACATTGATACAATCTCTAGATAAAAAACACACTCCACATATCATTTTTATCATAATCTACAAACAACTTTCCTCATATATATGTGCTCTGGGTCCTCCACCCTTCTGTGCTTCTGCTCGAAATTTCATCTCTCTTTTGGTGCGGGCCCGCCTTCCAAGACACCTGATCGCTTGCCTTCCTCACTATTTCCGCTGGTGGACTGGCTACCCGAACTATTTGTTTTACCTGCTGGGACGAGCCACTTATTCTCCTTCCATTGTTTTACCCCTTTTGTTGCCCTAAGCCAAGGCCCGAAAGGCCTCTCGCCAGTGAACTCATAACCCATCTTCTTACGTGGACAATGACTCTCAACATGCCCTATTATTCCACACAAAAAGCAGAAACTAGGCAGTTTCTCATAGCAAAATCTGACTCAGGAGTTGACTGCTTCCTCTTTTTGCAGGAACAGTTTCCTTTTCAACGGTTTCCCCAAATCAACAGACCCGAATCCTCATAAAGATTCCCAATTCTCAGAAAAATGTTTTCATCAACTTTTATAAACATCCCTAAAAAATTCCCGATACGTTCCACATTGTCTAAGGAGAAATATCCACTGGGATATCATGAACCTAGACCCAAAATTCAGCTTTGTCCAATGGGACAAACATAGGGATATAGCCCTCTTCAAGCCTACTCATAACAATCAAGTTCTGATCAAATCGCCACGGTCCCTCACCTGCTACCCTATTTATATCCTCCTCATTATGGAATTGAAATACATATCGTCTAGGACCGATCTCAGTCATATTAACATCCTTTTCGGATTTCCACACAGATGCCATAATGTCTCTAAATTGAGTAAAACGTACCGACTTTTCTGAAGTAATAGTTCCAACCAGAGTCAAAATTGTGCTTAGAAGAGCTTTGCGTCGTGGGTACGACAACGAGGAACTCGTCTTCCTCATCCAACCCCAACTGCTCGTACGCGTTTGCTAGCGCCTCAATTCCATCTGTGTTGCATCTGTCCTCCATGTCAAATCGCCAAATCGAAGTCCGGACTTCAAAATCGGAAACATGCTGCCGAAGAAGATATTGCGTGATAAATCCATGGATACCAAAGGATTAAGAAACGAGTTACACATCTTGCGACCCCTGCTGCCAAGTGTCGTGAACGGCCGTGGAAAAAACGAGCATAAACAATTACGCGACCAAAACTACCCTAGCCGTGGCTAGGTCTCCTCCGCTTGCACAGATGAAATCGGTTTTCATTTTATTTAAAACATAGAAAGTTCTGTCATTTTTGTTACTTTTGTTTTTTATTTTCGATTTATTGCAATTTTGACACTTTTAATAGTTTAGGGTGCAAATTGGACCTTTTTTTCCGGTTGTTTAACCTTAAAAAAATGAAATTTGAACTCGTTTTTGCTAGTTCGGACTGTGAATTGGACCTTTTTTTTTTATTTCAGAGTCTAGATTGAACTTGCACGGCCAGTAATGGGCCTATTTGACCCTTTAGCGTAATAACTAAAACATTGTTCAAAATTTATCATCATTGATCACAAAAAATCAAATTGATTGAATTTATATAATCAAGGGAGTACACATTTGTTACGACAATTTTGATATACTCACTTTGAAAATCACATACATTATTTACAATAAAGATTTTCCATATTCATTATAATTCCATTAATATGTTAATGGTGATTGGTGAAGCATATTCTCATATATGTCAGGGGTATCGACATCCACACACAAAGAAATCTCCAAAGAAACAACTAATAAGTCACTACCCCGTCGAGGCCGACCTCAACTCACCTGATGTCGGTCCGACATTCGACCCCTAGCTTATCGAGGCTAGGCCGAAACTGAGGCCAACCCCAACCCTCGTCAAGGTTGGTACGAGATCTAACCTCATACACAGGCGCAAAGTCAACCAAAATCAACATAACTGAAGAATCACCACAACCAAACAAGCACTGAGCTAAGTTTGCCCCTTCATAAGCACACTGTACCCGAGCTCGACCTCACATGTTGAGCTCGGAGGCCTCGCCAACCAACTGTGGACTTTGATATATCAGCAATCGAGTACCACACTAAACTATTGCCGCATCACCAGCGCGATAGCAGTCTAGGGGTCACGTCACCCTGGCGGTAACCATGAAGAGTGTTCCACAAAAACATTCCGGTACACAAAGAACAATTATGTTACACACACTAATCAGCCAGCTGTCTAAAATATTTCTCCAAGCAATTTTACATGAGAGGAAAAGTTGTCCATTGCCATCGTCGTTCTTGGATTTCAGAGTACGCAAAATTCTTCTCGCTCTGATACCAGTTTGTTAGGGCAGGTAGAGTAGTAACCGAAAGTAACAGATGGACTGATTTTTGGGGAAAAGGCCAGCTGCATTCGTAACGCCCAATGCCTTTATTTATAATGTGTAAAATACACATATTGAACTAATCTTGGTAATTACATCTTAACAAAAAATAATAATTTCATGAGAAATAATTTTAATACAACTTACCAAAATCTACTAAATAACTAGTGGAACTAATTAATTTCAACAGATAAAGTGATTCACACATGACTTAGTTGCAAGCAACCTCTCTTTCTCTCGCATATCGTTGTCGGCAAGCATGTATATTAACTAAAGTCAAACCGATTCTAAATGGCATGTATGTGTCTTTGGCTACATATTTAATTTGTTCAATGCTTATATCATCAGATTCCCAATTGCTCAGAAGTATAGCATATCTATCTTTAATCCAAGAACATTCCCCACCAGTGTTTCCAATCCAATCTACAATAACTCTTTTGACCGCTGGAAATTGTAAATCAAGAACATTTTCCACAACCAACTCGTGATCGTGGAGTTGTTGTTGTGCGTGCTCTTGGATCCCTATGGCGACAAACGTGACAAGAGGATTGGTGAGGAAGGTGGTCAAGGAATGTGGAAGGTGATCCTTGTGGAGAAGCTGAAAAATAAGGCACTTCATCCCGACACAAATTTGGAGTGTGGCAGTGAGATTGTTGTTCCATGGTCGGTAAGGATGCCACTTGATGTCTAGACCGGTAATGATGAAATGGTGTCCACGAAGGCGATGGAGAATTGGAGATCAATAACTTCAGATATCCATGCATCAACATGAGACGCGACTTTGGTGACAGTGACTTGAAGATTGATATCGTGAAAATAAACCGAGTGTAGTGTTGCTATTGTTTTATGTTTATAAGGAAATTGAGGGGACGACATATGGATACAAAAGGTATAAAAACGGGGTGAATGAGTAATGAAGGGTGTATGATTGTATGAATTGTGAAGGGAGGGTTTCTATTTATAGATTGAAAATCGAAATCCTAATTCTACTGATGTTCGTACTGAGCTAGACTAAAATAGATGTAGAAAGCCGTTTCAAACTTCAAAGCCCTAGAAAAAGTAAAAAAAAAAAAAAATCTTTCCATTGGAGTATTGAAACATCTTCTACTCTTCTCTATTGCTATCCATATTATTGTATTAAGCATGAGAACCTTAAATCTTAATTAATCAGAGAAATAATAATATAGGAGCTCCTTTCAATGTCTTAAAGTCCGCCCTCGAATCCAAAATTAGAAATTCAACTAGATAGATGATTAAGGAATGATCGTGATCTCATGTAGCAAATACTCCACAATTGGAAAGAAAATTTACAGTTTATCAGAATATCAGCTTTGACGAGAGTACATGGTATTAATCCGTGATCCGATTTAAGTAGGAATTACACGGCTTCTTTCCCAAGCTTTTTAACCGTTTTAGGAAACTATATTTAGTTATTTACCTCATTTTACTTCTCTTTCTCATTACGAATATCAGTACAATATTCAATTTAGGAAACCATATTCAACTCTAGCTCAGTACGAACATCAGTAGAATTAGGATTTCGATTCTCAATCTATAAATAGAAATCCTCCCTTCACAATTCATACCATCATACACCCTTCATTACTCATTCACCCCATTTTATACCTTTTGTATACATATGTCGTCCCCTCAATTTCCTTATAAACTTAAAGCAATGGCAACACTACACTCGGTTGATTTTCACGATATCAATCTTCAAGCCACTGTCACCAAAGTCGTGTCTCAAGTCGATGCATGGATATCTGAAATTATTGATCTCCATCACCACCGTGGACACCGTTTCATCATTGCCGGTCTAGACATCAAGTGGCATCCTTACCAGCCATGCAACAACAATCTCACCGCCACACTCCAAATTTGTGTCGGGAAGAAGTGCCTTATTTTTCAGCTTCTCCACAATGATCACTTTCCACATTCCCTGACCACCTTCCTCACCAATCCTCTTGTCACGTTTTTTGCCATAGGGGGCCAAGAGCACGCACAACAACTCCTCCACGATCACGGGTTGGTTGTGGGAATCGTTCTTGATTTAAAGAGTAGTGGCACTAGTTAAAGAGCACCTTCATTTGGATAGACCAGTGACGTCAGTTCTTGCCGTCCAGAATAGGGAGATGAGAGGAGAAATTGTTCATCGCCATCATCATTCTTGGATTTTTGTGTACACAAAATTCTTCTCGCTCTGATACCAGTTTGTTAGGGCAGGTAGAGTAGTAACCGAAACTAACGGATGGACTGATAATTGGGGAAATAGGCTAGCTGCATTCGTAAAGCCCAGTGCCTTTTTTTTATAATGTGTAAAATACACTTATTGAACTAATCTTGGTAATCACATCTTAACAAATAATATTAATAATAATAATAATAATAATAATAATAATAATAATAATAATAATAATAATAATAATAATAATAATAATAATAATAATAATAATAATAATAATAATAATAATAATAATAATAATAATAATTTCATGAGAAATAATTTTAATACAACTTATCGAAATCTACTAAATAACTGGTTGAACTAATTAATTTCAACAGATAAAGTGATTCACACATGACTTAGTTGCAAGCAACCTCTCTTTCTCTCGCATATCGTTGTCAGCAAACATGTATATTAACTAAGTCAAACCAATTCTAAATGGCATGTATGTGTCTTTGGCTGCATATTTAATTTGTTCAATGCTTAGATCATCAGATTCCCAATTGCTTAAAAGTATAGCAAACGGCCTATCTATCTTTATTCCAAGAACATTCCCTGCCAGCGTTTCCAATCCAATCCACAACTCTTTTGACTGGTAAATACATGCCGCTGGAAATTGTAAATCAAGAACATTTCCCCACAACCAACCCGTGATCGTGGAGGAGTTGTTGTGCGTGCTCTTGGACCCCTGTGGTGACAAATGTGACAAGTGGATTGGTGAGGAAGGTGGCCAAGGAATGTGGAAAACAATCCTTATGGAGAAGCTTAAAAATAAGGCACTTCTTTCTGACATAAATTTGAAGTGTGGCGGTGAGATTGTTGTTCCATGGCCGGTAAGGATGCCACTTGATGACTAGACCGGCAATGATGAAGCAGTGTCCACGGCGGCGATGGAGCTCAATAACTTCATATATCCATGCATCGACTTGAGACGTGGCTTTGGTGACAGTGACTTGGAGATTGATATCGTGAAAATCAATCGAGTGTAATATTGTTATTATTTTAAGTTTATAAGGAAACTGAGGTGACGACTTACGGATACAAAAGATATAAAAATGGATGAATGAGTAATGGAGATTGTATGAATATTTAATTTAGGGATACTATTTGTAGATTGAGAATCAAAATCCAAGGTCTACTGGTATTCGAACTTGAGAATTAGTTTAATACTTAAATGAAATAAGGAAAGTTAATTGAGGATAAATGATGTTTGCTAAAAGGATTGTACGAAATTAATTAGGAAGCAAACCGACTCGAAAACCTCTTCCATCAATTACCATAAAAAATTGCCCCTACATACATGCTTTAAGGACCAATAACCAATAACCAAATCATACATCCAACTATAATTCATGTCAAATGAGGTCGTACATTATCACATAATCATTCAACTTCCTTGCATAAGTATTTTATTACTTATTTAACTTGTGCTACTTAGTATTTCTAAAAAACGTGTATTACCTAATATTTAGCCAATCATGATGGTTTTCCGTGTTTGATTCCTTCTTTATTCGGATCAATTGATTGTGTGAGGACTTGCTGCAATGATTGGAAATATTATGTTGATTACGCACCATAGATGTTATTGCCTACTAGCTGATTTCCTTTTATTTCTTTCATTTTGTATTATTATTTACCATGATTTGTGCCGCTATATTAAGAAAGAGCTCATGTGTAAAAATATTCATTTACATACGTTCAGTTGAGTTGTATCAATAAAGAGTCCTTTTCATTATCTTCCCTCTAAGAACTTTAATGGTATCAGAGCAGGGCTGCGCCTGCAAACACTCAATACCCTAATCCGCAATTGAATTTTTCAGAAATGACGAGGCGTGCGGATATCACAATCGACACTATGTCCCCATACTATCTACACCCTTCAGACAACCCCGGCCAAATGTAATTTAGCGAGGTCCTCTGCGACGGAGATTATGACGACTAGGTGAATGAGATGAATAGTTCCCTATGTGTATAAAACAAAATTGGGTTTATTGATGGAACAATCGACATGCCAGAGCCAAATTCACCTTATTATCTGGTATGGAAAATGTGCGATGCCATGGTTCGAGAATGGTTAAACAGTGGAATGGATAAAGAAATCCGGGGAAATGTCAAATCTGTCAAAACTGCACGGGAAGTTTGGCAAGATCTTGAAGAAAGGTTCAAGAAGGAGAGTGCTTCTAGAGCATACGAGTTGAAGACAACTGTGAGCCATACATGTCAAGAGAACTCATCCATATCCGCGTACTATTCCAAACTAAAAAACCTATGGGATAAAATAGAGTCTGCTTCTCCTCTTCCCAAATGCACATGTACAAAGTGTACATGTGATGTGTTAAAAAACTCACGGTCATGAGAGACAAGGAGCGTTTGCATAAGTTTTTGATGGGGCTTGATGAGTCCTTTGGGATCATCAGAACTCAGATCCTAAGCACCAAGGCAACTATGAGCTTGGGAACTGCCTACCATCTACTTTCTGAGGAAGAAAAGCGTAGAGATCTTAGCTTATCGACGACCAGGAACAAATGTTGCTACTTTTCAAGTTCAGCGAAGTAGCCACAAAATTCAACCTACTATGGAAAATGTTGCTTTCCGGTCACATAGGAGTGAAGACATAAGGGGATCAAGGAGAGAGAGAGGCCCAAGTGCACTCATTGTCAAAAAATAGGACATGTTGCTGAGTAATGTTATGAGATAATTGGATATCCATCACATTGGAAGAAGGGGCAGCAAGATGGTGGGCGAAAGACAAATCATTTTAATTCAAAAGGAGGACCTAGAGTAGCACATGTGGACATGAATGTCTGTCCAATTCCAGGCTCACGTTCGAACAATACTCTCGGTTGGTTCAACACTTCTCAATTGAGATTGGTGGTGAGGTCTCAACACACACCCAAACACTATCTGAAGTTCCAACTGCTAATATGGCGGGTAAGAAGCTAAGGTTGAAAATAATAATTGGGTAATTGACTCGGGTGCCACCGAGCGTATTATATGTGATGTTAATTTAATACATGAACAAAAGGAGGTAGGTCATGGCATGGTTGTGAGAGTACCGATTGGAGTTGGTGTCCCTGTCAAAAGTATTGGAACGACACGGGTTATGAATGGGATTGGATTAAAAAACGTTCTAAACATATCAAGTTTCCAATGCAATATATTATCAGTTAACAAATTGACACAAGAGCATAATTGTGCCCTCACTTTTTCCATGGTTTTTGTATCGTGTGGGACTTACCTTCGAGGACACTGATTGAAGTGGGTAGGCAAAGTGGTGGTCTATACTATGTCGAACCAGTGAAGAAAGAAGGTCTGGCAATGAAAGTACAAGTTGATTCTGAGGTCAGGCATAGAAGACTAGGTCATGCCTCATATGAAAAGCTCCAACGCATTTTCTCCATTAATAATTTCTCTCGTATTGAACATTGTGAGTCGTGTATGAAAGCCAAGCAGATTAGATTGCCCTTTTCTATTGGATCGATAAAAACTAGTTCATGCTTCAAGTTAATTCATTGTGACATATGGGGGATAGAAGGTTGCATCTTTTTCGGGTGCTCATTATTTTCTGTCAATAGTTGATGATTATAGTAGAGGGACATGGATTTTCTTGATGAAGAATAAATCAGAAGCTCCATATCATTTAATAGCCTTTTGCAACATGATACAAACACAGTTTGATAAGAGTTAAAAGAGTAAGGTTTGATAATGGGTTGGAATTTCAATCAGGACCAATGCTATAATAGTATCATGAAAATGGATTAGTGTTGGAAACAACATGCACTGATACAACAAAACGGGGTGGTTGAAAGGAAACGGGGTGGTTGAAAGGAAGCACAGACACCTACTTGAGGTGGCTCAGGCCTTAAGATTCCAAGCAGGTCTTCCATTGCATTTTTTGGGAGAATGCGTTTTCGCTGCAACTTACTCCCTCCGTCCCCTTTTAAATGGGACGGGAGATGGTGGCACGAGTTTTAAGAAAAGTGAGTTTGTGTGGTTGATATTAATTGATAAAGTAAGAATAAAGTAAGAATGATTTTGAGCCACACAAAGTTTACCAAATAAGGTATGTGGCAATTAAATAGGGACATCCCAATATGGTAAAGCGGGACATTTAAAAGGGGACGGACCGACGGAGGGAGTATATAATTAACAGGCTTCCCTCTAAGGTGATTGGCTATAAAACACCCTATGAAATTGTTTTTAACCGGAAGCCCTCATGTGACCATATGAGAATTTTTGGCTCGCTTGTATATGCGAAAAATAACAAAAAAAAGGGAAGATAAATTTAGTGAGAGGGGCAGGCCTGGTGTATTCATTAACTACCCTACTACACAGAAGGGATATAAAGTTTATGATATGGAAGAAAGCTAGGAAAGGACTCAAAGGAGTGTGGATTTGTGGATGCTCCCATTAATGATGCTCTTGTAGAGAATTTAACAATTGAAAATTTGAAATTCTATATTCTTTTTTTTCCTTCTTGGAATTCTATATTCATATCTATTGAATTCGAATACGTACCACTCTGTATTAAAAAATCTGTAAAACACGACAACACAATAATGCATCATACAATCTAAGATAATTAAATGTAGGATAAAAAATAATTAAAAGCCCGTCAACCACTATCAACTAACAAGTAAGAGGATCCAAACAGGCTGATAAGCCCAACGGTCCAACCAAATACAATCTCTGCAGAAACCAAGAGGATCCCATACTAGAAGGTGAAAATGTTTTGGCATGCCACTGGAAACACCCACAATAGAGGGACGATTACGTTATGTAATTGATTCAGCCGTGAAACTGGGCATTATGAACTTGATGGATTGGTTCCCAAAGTGATAAAGGCATTCCCTGAACGATTATGACTCTGAAGACTGTTGTCACAACTCACACGTGCACCTGTATTAAATACGCTTGATTTTTCACTTATATTTGTGATCAAAACAGACACATCCAACTGGAGAACCAGAACCGTATTACTTCAGGAAAACCGCCCTATACTGAAACAAACTCTAAATATGATGCATCAATTCCACAGAACACTCATGGTGGGCATGCAGGAGTCACCCGCACAACTGCACAAGGGGTCGTTTATCCTCTAATTTCTTTGGGCACCTTATGTGGAAAGATATAAAGATGCATGCCCAGGAGGGCGTAATAGTCAACCCATCAATGTTTCTAATCAAGCTCTAAGTGGATCTCTTCAGCCCTTATCCATCCAGCATGAGTGTGGGATGAGTGGATGACATTACAACGAATTTTGTTGTCATGTTACACTTCTCTTGGGGCTCCACTGCTATATCTGTTGTCCTAAACTGACTCTCCAAGTATGCACACTTCACAGCTTTAATTACCTACTCATTTTATAGCCTTCAAAGTTTCCAAATTGTTTATAGATACCCTGGCAAAGCTCCGTGGATTTCCTTGTCCTAACAAAGGAAAAAGAACAAGTATTCTAAAATAACCAAGAATATTATTTATATTCATCAATGGCTGCATGGCTCAATTATAGATACGAACCCCGTATATTGTTACAAATTTCTGTTGTTCTAATTATTCTTGAGATGAATGTGTACGTTTAACACTTTAACATGTTCATTTTGACTGTAAATTGATTAAGAGAGGGTTTCCTATGGTCTGCAAGCCGGAACACGATAAGCCATGCTAACAGGTAAATCTTGAAGTTAGCAGTAAGCATATGTGAGTAGGTGCAAATCCCCCTCACAAGGTCTGTATCAGAGTGAGAGTTCAACCTGGTACCCCGACTATAGAGCTCGTTTACTTCGCATGATACCATTTACAACTGGTACACTATGCATCTAGTACTACCAACTTACCAAGTATTAAGTCTCAGGCATGTGTACACATAACAAGTAGTACCTCCGTCCCGACTTAAGCTTCTCGTTGAAAAATGAGTGAGTTTGTTCACCCCTCTTTGGAGGGTGATGTACACCCCCTTCCCTAGTTGCCTTCCATGTGGTATGACAATTCATTTTTTACAATTGTTATAACTTTTTTCATTTTTGACCCTGTTTTTTTAAATCAAATTTTATATGGAGTAATTCCTATGGTCTTTCCAATGGTACCAATATTACGTATTTAAAAAATTGAAAAAAAAAACTATTTTTTCCAAATATTTATTTTTAGCCGTATTTTAAAAAAAATGCATATACAATATTGGTAACATATGAAAGATCATAAAAGATTATAAAATTTGATATATATTTTAAAAAAATTGGATAAAAAATGAAAAAGTTATAACACATGCAAAAAAGGAGTTGTCATGCCACATGGCAGGCAATTAGGGAGGGGGTGAACATCATCCAAGGAGAGGACATGAACAAAATCACAGTTTTGAAAAATGGCACAATTATTTAGATATTAATTAAATAAGATGATTCAAGTATATTTTTAGAAGTACTTTTGATGGCTATATAACATAAATACATAATTAGGGCATTGAGGATAACTGTGATATTATAGGTGTATTGTTTTCAATACTTGATGATTAATTTGTCATTTGAGAGTGCTAATTATTTCCTAAATAGAAATGAGAAGCTTTAGGTGGACATCCAAAAAGGCAAGTGAGAAGCTTAGACTGGAACAGAAGGATTATATTTTGGTTCAGTGTCAGAACCATAGTTGGTGTTTAAACTGTCCCAGGTTTAATTGCTATGGATTCCGAAAGATCGTAGTGAAAAGAAAGAATATGCTAGGGAAAATCATTTCCTACTTTTGGATTTACATCTAAAAATACAAAAATAAAATGAAATATTATTGACATTTTAGATTTTTTTACATATGTTCAGATTGCTAAGTAATCACATTAAATAAAAGGGAAAAATAATAAAAATACCCCAAACTTGATGGGGTGTGAAGTAAACACCCCAAACTTACATATGTATTTTAAATACCCCAAACTTTATACAAAAAAATATTTTTGCACCATTGTCATGTATTATTTCTTTCAAACATGTTTTTTTATGGGGTTATAATTGCATAAATTAAAATTAAAATAGCAAATTAAAAGTGTTTCAATTATATGGATTGGCCGTACATTATTTATTTCAAAATGGAAATTTATAATGTTAGTTGTGTCTTCGTGAATTCTAAAATATTTTAAATTATGCAATTAACACAATAAATTTACATTTTTTAAAGAAATAATACTTGATAATTGTGTTAAAATAAATTTTTATATAAAGTTTGGGGTATTTAAATTACATACGCAAGTTTGGGGTAATCATCTCACACCCCTTCAAAATTTGGGGTATTTTATTTATTTTTCCCTAAATAAAAATAAAAGTTAAAAAAATGAATTTTAACTAATATTTAAAATAAAAGTTATTTTCTTATGTTTAGAGTTACCTCGAATAATACGAAGGAAAAAGAAACATGATAGATGTTTTAATTGTTACTACATATTAGATTGTCCAAAATTTATCCAGAAGAAGTAAATAAATAAAACAAATTATGGAAAAAAAATTGAAAATAAATTTATTGTATTTGAAACAATTATTTACTCCTCAACATTTTCTTTGCATTGGAATTTATCCTACATGTGCTTCTCCGTTTAACTATTCCTGGCATTTTCAGTGTTTCACATACAGTAAAAGATCATCTAACTCAACATTCCTGATCCATAGTTGTTTATTCCCTTGTTAAGGTAGATTCTTATAAGCCTTCACTCTATGTGTTCTAGCGTTGTGGACTGTGGTTGCACTCTTACATAACTAGCCCATTTCCATTTACACTTCCAGACTTCCTACATTGCAAGGTACAAAGGCCAACAGCACTTGGGGAGTCTTTGCTAAAACTTTAAAAAAGTGCTTTTTAGCTTTTGGATTTAAAAAAGCTAAAAGAGTGTTTTAAGATGACAGCTTCTGCTTAAATTAATCACTTAAAAGCTAAAAGTTGGAAGCGGGTGGAAGGGTGCTTTAAACTGCTTTTCACTTTTTCTATTATACAAAAATCACTTATTTTACCGAACACTACCAACTTTTAATTTTCAGAATCACTTTTTTTCAAACACTACCAACTTTTACTATTAAGTACTTTCTCCAAAATCACTTTAAAAAATCACTTTTTTGAAGTAGAAGCAATCACAAACACTCCCTTAGGTTCTCTTTGGATCTCAGAAAATGCTATAGAAAGAAATTAAGGTAAAAACATAGGAGGAATTATGAAGGACAAATTAATGAGGAAAAAACATTGCCTCAAGCTCAATAAATTTGATTTAAATGTTTGTTCAAATTGACTTCTTGTACTGTGAAACCTAAATACATGTAAGAAATTTAAAAACATTAATCATATTCCATTTTCCTTTTCATTTCCATAGGTAAAACCAAGCATAAGAAAATAACTTTCAGAATCACTTTTTTTCAAACACTACCAACTTTTACTATTAAGTACTTTCTCCAAAATCACTTTAAAAAATCACTTTTTTGAAGTAGAAGCAATCACAAACACTCCCTTAGGTTCTCTTTGGATCTCAGAAAATGCTATAGAAAGAAATTAAGGTAAAAACATAGGAGGAATTATGAAGGACAAATTAATGAGGAAAAAACATTGCCTCAAGCTCAATAAATTTGATTTAAATGTTTGTTCAAATTGACTTCTTGTACTGTGAAACCTAAATACATGTAAGAAATTTAAAAACATTAATCATATTCCATTTTCCTTTTCATTTCCATAGGTAAAACCAAGCATAAGAAAATAACTTTCTCAGCATAATCTAACCTTCCTAATATTTTCTATGATTCGAACACAACCATAGGAGGGAAAACAAATACCAGATGCATAGGCTAGGCAGCAAGTCCTTGTTCTCTGGCTTTTTTCAGCCATTTCAAAGTACTCTCCAGTGTGGTGTATGCCATCACGTCATTCAAACTCTTACTATCCACTGCGTAGTCAAACACTTCATAAGCCTCTGCAACCCTTCCATTCCGGCAAAGAGATCTAACAAATGTCCCATACGCACCTGACTCGAGCATGATGTCATTCTGTTTCATCATGCCATACAATTCAACAGCCTCTTCCAACAACCTAGCCTTGCATAGCCCATGAAGCAATGTATTGTACGTGCAAGAATTAGGTTCACATCCCTTTGCTTCCATCTCCTCCAGCAATGACAATGCTCCCTTGGCATCCCCCTCCCTACACATCCCATTCATCAAGGAAGTATATGTGACAGCATCTGGAAAATGACCATTTCCAACCATTACACCCAAAAACTTCTTGGCCTGTTGGACCCGGCCCGACTTAGAGAGCCCATATATCAATGTATTATACGTCACAAGGTCAGGTTTCACACCTTCTTCCAACATCTTCTTATACACACCCAACACTTCACCCCCAGAGCTTAACATGCAATAACCCTTCATAATTGTGTTGTAAACATAGCAATCTGGCTTATAGCCTTCCTCACTCAAAACACCCAAAAGCCGGGTTGCCTCCCGGATATTTTTGTTATTACAAACATTATCTATCATTATAGTGTAAGTGACTAGATCGGGCTTTATTCTGAAATTCTCCTTCATATCTTGGACAAAACCATTCATGGCGCTCACTGATCTATTCTTACACAAATGCCTCACGAGAAAATTGTAAGTATGGGAATCAGGAAGTACGTTCTTACTACAAAAATCCTTCACTAGATCAATGGCATGCTCTTCATGACCAGAGATGCAAAGGGTCCTTGCAGCAATATCCATGGAGACCATATCAGGAGGATACCCATTGGTGTTCATCAAATTGAGTACCTGGTGCACAGGGGATAAAGATTCGTCCGATGATTTACAAGCCTGAATTAGAAGGGTATGGAAGGTAGACCTGTCCGGAGAAAAGGGCGGGTGGGTCTTCACCATGTGGTTCATGAAAAAGATTGCATCTTGGAGAGTTGAGATCGAAGAAAATGATTGAAGGATTGAGTTGAATACTCTAGGGTGAGAAGGGGTGGTCTTCTTGGGGTTGGAAATGAGAGAGCTGAAGAGGGTTTTGGCTTGTGAAAGACTAGGGGAAGTGAAGGTGATGAGAGGGGCCTCAGGCTGAGGTTGAGGACTTACTTGGGGCTTTTTCTTAGGGATTTGCTGGATTACTTGTGGCTTGGGGGAAGATGGTGCAGTTCTCATAAGATTGTTTAGACCGTAATTAACTGATGACCTCATTGAAGGTGGAAGCTTCCCCATTTCTGCTTCTTATTCTCGATCCCGGTTTCTGATTCTGGGAACTCCACTCTGTTTGAGCCTTTCAGTTATTGGTTAGGGTTTAGGTGTTTATCGTTAAAAAGAAAGTTAACGCAGCTGTTGGGTTTAGGGGTTTAGGAGGAAGACGATTGGGAAATTACGTTTATGGGATCCCCATTCCTCAGCAGTCAAGAGTAGGTCTGGATTCATAAATTTTTAGGGGAGCTCTTCGGTGCAATTGCATTCCAAGATCTTTTGGTGCATTCAACACTTGTCCTAAGATTATTGGGTATATATTCCACGTCATCTACGAGTCATCTATTCCTTTACAGAAATCTAACTTTGTCCACCTGAACCAATGAGAATGTTGCAGTTCAATTATTTAAATCTAAATTAAAAATGATAAAGTGATGTGGTCCAATCGAATGAATGGTAGGTACGGTACCCCATGTTTTAAAAGGGTACTGGAGTTGTCACACTATTTGCTAAATGATCCTTGCACTAAGTGTATTTGTAATTCTGTCCTTATCCCCCTTACTCATTAGTCATCATTACCAAATACCAAGTGAGGGCTAAATATTGGGCTAAATATTGTCTGTTATTATTATTAGCATGAATTTTCGTTTCGTCTTATGAACTGATTTTGTAAAGTATTCACTTCATATTGGGCTAAATATTGTCTGTTATTATTTGTAATGTATTCACTTCATATTTGGCTAAATATTGTTTGTTATTATTATTAGCATGAATTTTCGTTTCGGCTTATGAACTGATTTTGTTGATGGATGTTGTCAAGTACCGGAGTAATTGGGGAAGAAGCTCCAAAATTAGGTGGCCCCAAGCTGGTTTACAGCGCTGACCTTTCTTGCTCCCATCATACACGCAGATGACAAATTCTCATAGAGGGATGCACATGTGAATTACATGAAAAGGTAAACTTAATTTTTCCTTTTTGATATGAATTTCAAAAACGTGCTAATAAAATAATAAAACTGATTGTCATGCTGGAGTGCTGGAGATACACAAATGATGTCCACAAATCCATCAGCTAAATCTTCAAAGAGAAGAACAACCAAATAACCTTCTGCAAAGTAAAATAAAAAAGGAAGAAGTCATTTTGAGGCACCAAATACTCAACCAGATGTAGCAACAGAGAATGGATTGTCAAAAGCTTTAGCTTTAGGCATTGGAAACTTACTGTATTTTTCAATTTAAGCTTTGAGTATGTATTTGTACTACTTGACTTTTTTGGATGTAATAGCCCCTGACCATTTTGACTTGCAATCTGAATAAGGTTAGATTTTTACTATGAATGTGTGTAATTAAAATGGCATTCACCGCTTGAAGTTCACTGTGTACGTGTGTATAATATTCTCATGTGTCTAGATTGATTAGTAAAGAGCAGGTACATGAAGCTTTAATAGTTTCATGTCATAGTATTGTGTTATTAGCATATAAATTCTCTCTGCATATCAATAACAACAAAAGTCATGTTTCAAATATTAGCAAGAAATTTAAAGGGGGCTATCTAGCTCTCATTTGTCTATTCTTTCACTTTGTACTTTTAGATGTGCAAGAACAGGAATCACTTCCATTATTTTCTTAAAAGTTGTGATAAATCTAAACACATAGGAAGTGAGAAAGCGGTAAAGGATTCAAGAATCACGAATTTTTACAAGTCAACCTCATGTTATGATGTTAAAATTGTTTTTGGGCGATGATATAGTTGTCACTATAGAATTATTGTCACTTCTAACTGGGCTGGATCTAGGTGATGATATTGATGATGATGGATTTAATGTCACTCCTAACTAGGTTGGATTAAGGTGATGATATTGATGATGATGATGATAGGTTTGCTTGCAAAACACTAGAATCATATTGGTTATGATTTCTAACTAATGCTATTTCTGACAAATATTCTCGAATCTAGACTCTTTGCTTCAACCTGCAAAGTGCAAATTTCACACTCGTGGACCATGACTCCTTTACTAGAAATCAGCTCCAGTCAATCAAACTGTACAAGAAAATGTTGATGAAATGTTGCTCTGGGACGAAGCTGAAGAAGTAAACAAAACGTGGAAGAAGAGAGAGGGGAGCAAACCAAGAAAGTTGGTCATTATCGAATACGGAGAAGTGCAATCATAGTATCATACAACATTTATCCTAGCAGTGGAATCATTTCATATAGTTTCTGCAATTTCATCTCTTTTTTTAGATCAACACTTTTTTTAGAAATTTATTCCAGAGATTGTTGAGGATCGATTCCGTCACCGGATTCCGGCTCAGGCAGTCCGGACGTCGGTTTTCCGGTTGTCTCTTGTGCACACTTAGGCTAAGGGAGCAACACACCTTTCTAGCCTCGCCAACACCTCACTTCTACTCACTATCCAGTTCTCACACAAAGGAAACTCAAGGAGGAAGAAGACTGGTCTGGGTGAGGTATCTCTCGTACGCTCCACTCTCACAAGCAAGGGTGCAGGGACTGTCCTTATAGCATAGGATTTTTGGTCTTATTAGAAGGACACTCAAATAATACACTGCACACACAGCTCACCATTAGCTTAATAATGAGCTGAATTTGAATTCTAACAGGAGAGGCAATATTGATAGGCTAGATAGATAAATGGGTACAGTGTAGTGGGCTGCTAGAAAGTGTGTTGACCATTATTAATATACAAAAATCGTTTGGGCCAACAATATATTAACAGAGATCATTCCTGAAACTTGAAAGGGTGTTGCCTGACCAAACAAGTGCTACATGAAATAAACAATACAAATTTTACAATTATACAAACAAACACGTCACAATTTCACCGCAGTCCATTCACAAACGCTTGCAATGAATCTATGTCCCTCTTCTCCAATGAGTACTTGATATCATGTGAGGAATGTTTGGGAAAGAAAAATAATATGGGGAAGCTCCCAAGCTACAATTCTTTCTTTGCAAATTCTTTCTGCTCCCCATCTGCCCTGAACTTTGCTACCTTCACCCCGAACGCCACTAATCTCTCTGCCAGTTGAATGTCTGATTCCTCTATACCCTTGCAGAATCTACACCATGGTGGATATAGAACAAGCCAAGGTTCCTTCCTTTATTCCATTCTCAACATGTTCTCAATTCCTTGCCTGCTTAAGGTAACAATATTCTTGGTATGAAGAAGATCTTTTTCAGCTGAGGTGTCCTCTCCAAGGATTCTCACATTCCCAACCCCATTCAAGGTTTCTTCTTTAAGATTACCTTTGTGTCTACGTTCCTTTGCCTGTGCATTTTCCCACCACCACCGACCTTCCCTCTCGTGTTGACCAGGCAAGACCGGTCTGGTTTGGCTTGTATTCTAGCTTGGATTGTATGTTGCTCTGTTTGTTCTTTTAGATTGCTTGTTGGATGACTTCAGGCGTAAGGGGGCTATCCCCTATGTCCTTTCTCTGGTTTTAACAGCTTGTGCATTGTATTGCAACAGCCTGTTTTTTATCTTTACTCCAAGGGTATGCCCCCTTCATTTTGTGATTCAAATTTTGGATGAGTTCAACATACACTTTTTATCCGTTGTTTTTGTTGGGATTGGAAAATTCTTCTATTCAATATCAAGAACAGAATTACAATAGGAGGAGCAAACTCTCACACTCAACTATTACAAAAAACCAATCCTCACCAATACACTTCTACTCTAAGTGTATTTTCACTCTTCACACACTTTTCTCACTTTCTAAACTGATACTATGAACAACAATGGAGCACTCTATTTATAGGACTAGTTTGGAGACATGAGGAAGTTGCATCCAAGCTTCCAAGGTATCTCCGTATCTTCTCCCACACCTATTTGTTGGAGAGCTCTTTCCAAGAAGGTGCCTCCATGTTAAGGTGTCTCTTGGCAACTTCCAAGAAAGAAGGTGGAAGATACCTACAAATCTCCCCCTCCACCTTTTTCTTTATTTCTCTCGTTCCTGCGATGCTCGCAGGCTCCGCCTCGCTAGCAACAAGTATCCATTCGGATGTGGAATACTTTCTCTGTGGAACTATGCCTCGCATAGAATGTCGAACATGAGTACCTTCAGCTTCGTCTTCAGATGAAGGCTCCCCCTGCTGAGGAATATCATCACCGTGAGTATCATCATCACCTGCTGAACCATCACTCTCTTGTTCAGTAGAATCATGCATCTCCTCGTTGCTGAGAGAAATGTTTGATGATACAGGCACTTCGTCTTCTAGAGTATGTTGTTGGCGGATTATTGGAGCACACTCATGAAACTCGTTTTCATGAAATACAACATCTCTGCTTCGTACAACTTTCTTCAATTCGGGATCCCACAACCGGTATCCGAATTCTTCATCACCATAGCCGATGAAGATACATGGGTTTGACTTGAGATCAATCTTCTGTC